GAGTTAAAATCCTGGTTTACCTCTAATTTTCTAAAGCTCAATGAGGATAAAACTGAGATCCTCGTTATTGGCACCAAATCCAACCTTTTGAAGGCAAACCATTTCTCACTCACAGTCGATAACTCCACAGTTTTCCCTTCTCCTCAGGTTAACAAGTTTGTTTAACAAGGTAATTTGGAGAGTAGTCACAGTGCTGTTTGTTGGAGAATGTTGCCGTGATTCACGCCTCCTCTAGAGGACTGCACCCAGCACCGAGCAGGTGGAAGATCAGCTGGGAGGTCCAGGTAAGCATGAAGTCCAATAGGTCAAATCCAGTGATGACAGAACAGTCTGAAGTTAGTGTGGTCGCGGAGAGCCCGCGGAGAGCTCGGAGAGCAGAGAGAGATGATAGGACGTCAATAGATAAGCGATAATTTATCACAACATGTGAGTTTAAATAGGCCTTCATGTGAATGCGGATACCGGCCCATTTACCCTGTCTTCGTGAATGTTTCTTTTGTGGGAGAGTAGATGGTAAGTGGCGTAGATAATCAGGAAAGTCCATCAGGAGCGGAGGAGGATTCTCAGATTTCCATTTCAAATCTAGTGTCTCGTGATCCAAAGGCCAGAGATTCAAAAGAGTTTGACAATCATAGGCAAGTAACATAAAGACATCAGGCCAGCACAGAGAGAGAAAGACAGCAAACAGCAAACAAAAGCCAAAGAGACGGCTTGCCGTGCACACTGGCGCCATCTTGGATGTGGCCATGATTCTCAGTTCATGACTGCAGTAACTGCTGTTTCATAAAAAGAAACAACCATTCAATTTCACAAACTGCTTCCTGTCACAGAAATAACTCAGAATCCAAATTAAAATGTCATAAGATCCTAACTTACTCTCCACTCTAGTGGTTAAGAATACTGTATTACACACACTTTTATTTGTTATTGTTTTTCAAGTTTCAAAATCCATACGTGAAAGCTACCTGCATAGACTGATGATTGTGTAAAGTCAACTTAATGTTTTACTCTTGAGTTTGGTATTTTTGTCTTTGTTAGGATTTCTTCTTTTTCTCTTCTTTTCTGTATTGCTGTATTAGATAATTCACTGTAAATTTTAAGTAATAAACTTTGTTTGTCTTCTTTTATTGGTGCTATTTTTAGTGAATTTATAAAACAAGTTCAAGTTAATAAAATTCGATATAATTATTATGAAATTTGACTTACTCCAGGTTCGGGAGCCAATTTATTTAAACCTTTCCCATTTTAAAACATATAAAAACATGTGCTTATTTGGATGTGATGTAGCTGAAGCTGCTGCATCTGCAGGAGAGTTGATGTGATCAGAACTGCTCAGGTTGACTGCTCGAAGCTGTTAGCACTATCTCAAAATCTGGCTGTTTCCTGTAGCTCTGCACTGAGTCCTTCTACACACAACAAGAAGCAGTTAAATCAGCTCTCAAAGAGTTCATGTTACTAACAGCTCACCTCTCTGCAGCAGACGCTTGCTGGTGTTTAAAAGTAATGGGGCCTTCTCTAGACTGATCACTTTTGAAGAACACACATATGGACTCAGGTCCAGGTTCGGGTTTGGGTTCAGGTCCAGGTCCAGGTTCAGCAGGTCCCCCATAGATCCTATTAAATAAAATAAAAAATCATTTGCAGCCACAGAACTTACTAATGAAGACTTAGAATAGCTTCATCATCCCAAAGAGAAACTGTTTTGCAAGTAGAGCATGAGCAGAAAGAAACTCCAAGACCTAATCCTCGGCCAAAGTTTAGGTTTGCAGGAGCAGTTTCTGACTGGAAGTTCCAAAATAACAAACTAGTGTAGGTTTGAACACCAGGCAAAGATAGAACTGTGGATAAAGAAATGTAAGTTTGATCAATACGAGTTCACAAGTTCACAAGTTCTAATATCTCATTGTAATTAACCCAATTCTTGTGAATCCAGTTTATTATTGATTATTATCATTTTTATTATTATTGACTATTATTATTTTGTTCTGTCAATAATAATTTAAAAAAAACTAATTAAACTCACAATTTTCTGTAATTAATCGCGATTAATCGCAATTACTTGATCAATAGCCTGGTTGCAATTACATTTTTTCAATTTTATATTTGAGCTTGTGACTGATATTTATGCAATATAATGAAGTAAATGCAGAATAAACACAAAGGATGTATGCTTAAATTCAAAGAGAATTTGAATAGTTTGTCAATCTTTTAAAACAGGTTCTCTCCTGTGAAATACAACTTTTTAAAAAAAACTATATACTAATAGGTAAGTATACACTAATATATAATATATATTAGTGCTGTCAAACAATTAAAATGTTTAATCAGATTCATCACAGGGTCACTGTGGATTAATTTTGATTAATCACAATTAAATATCATTCATTTTCTATATTAATCACATTTCATTTTGCATGCGCAAACAGACTTGAGAAAAAAGGGAAAATATACACTCTTAACATGTTTATTGAACATCTTGAACATTCATGTTAACAAAATACTCTGTAAACATTTATCCACTCTCTCTCTGTCACTCTTGGGGAGGCACTTCAAGTCCTTGAAACGAGGAACCAAAGCTGTGTAAAGCACGTGTTCTCAACAATATTAATAGGTTTGCAGTTTGTTGCAATCCACTTGGCAATTCTGTCAGTCAAGTAGGTAGACTTACTGAGCCCCTGATGCTCCGTGAGTGGTTTGTCGAAAGCTGGGTGACGCATTAGCCAAAGTGCTAGCAGCATCCCAGACTACCGTATGCTTTGTGTCAATGTGATGTCCTCTTTAAGGTCTGCAAACCTTTGGTTTGCTTTCTAGAGCAGCATATCAGCTGTGCAGATGTACCAAGTGTACCACTTGTTTCTGTTGGCTTAGCCACTAGACTAAAGTCAAACTACCCACTGCTAGCAGTTTTTTCTATGATAGTTTAGGATCCAGATGTCTGATGTCTAAATTTCCATGTGGTTAAAATAGTTAAAACAGACAATTTTGTCAAAATGTGGCTAAAAAGCAAATAAAAATGACAGTTACGCCTGAGCCTGTTTTTCCTTTGAGACACTGCTCTCCTACAGATATGCATTTTAGAAAACAGGAAACATCAAAATCATTTACATCAGACACCAAACTGATATCAAATAGTTCATGTTACTAACAGCTTACCTCTCTGCAGGAGAAGCCTGCTGGATGTTAAAACCTTTAGGGGTATCACTACTTAAGGACTCACAGCTGGGTTGAAGTCCAGGCTTGACTCTCTGATGGATCCTAAATAAAAAGCTCAACTCCTCAATAAAAGCTTCATGACATATAAACTCCTACAATTTTAGATGATTTAATATAAACATAAACTTACGTGTTCTCAAATGACTTTTTCCCTGAGAAATTACTGAAGAAATTCTTCAACCGTTTACTCCTAGAGGACACAGAGCTGGATGCGGGTGCAGGTTGGTTCCTGTGAATAATGATGGAGCAGTGATGTGAGTGCTGAGCTGTGACATGGAGAAAGTCATGGACAGTTAGAGATGGTCATCTCACCTCTGGGCTTTGGTCTGGCTCTCATGTTCCCCACACAGAGTGGTTTTAGAGAGAGAGACTGCCTGCTCTCTTCTACAACACTGACCCATGCTGCTGAATTCACATCAGCTCACACACACTTTCTACCTTCACCTGCAGAGGAAACAAATCATTCATGTGCACATCAACTGAGAGCTGCAGAGGTCATGTCTGATGTGTTGGACTAACATGCACTCCATCTGAGACACAGCTTTCATCAGTTCACTACAAAAAGTGTCACAGAGAGCCAAAATGCCTCCATTACTGTAGTCATAGAAATCAGCAGGTAAAACATGGCTGTAGAAATTACAGAAAGCAGCTTTATTTCACTAACAATGCCCAGGACCAAGCTGACTGCTTACAGAGTGTTCATACTCTAACTGCTAGCTACGTCCAGATGAACAAAATCAACCTTTTACAGGAGATGAGAAGGCTGATGAGAAGGGCCAGCTCTGTTCTAGGATGCCCTCTGGACCCAGTGGAGGTGGTGAGTGACAGGAGAACGGCTAAGCTGTCATCCCTGTTGGACAACATCTCCCACCTCATGCAGGAGACTCTGACAGCACTGAGCAGCTCCTTCAGTGGCTGCGGCACCCAGGGTGTGGGACGGAGAGATTTTGCAGGTCTTTCCTCCCCACTGCTGTCAGACTCCACAACAAAGACTTCAACTGATCAAACATACACAAACCCACACATGTGCAATAAGACTAAGTGCAATACTCTTTTCTGACAAAGTTGTATTTTTACTCAGTTGTATATGGAATTTGTATTCTATTTTTATCCTATTGTATATTTTATTCTATTTTATTCTATTGTACATATTTTATTTTATTCTATTCTATACAGTTGTGTACAGTATTTTATTCTTATTGTATTCTAATTTTTGCTATATAACTTTTGCACTGTCCACTTCCTGCTGTGAGAAAACAAATTTCCCACATTTGTTGGGACTAAAAGGTTATCTTATCTTATCTTACAAGCAACAGTAAATAATAAATACTGAATGTTGCATGCACACGCGCGCGCGTGCATGCTTGTATTCATAAGGTTTGTCCATGTAAGTGTTTAATAGTAGGTGTGGAGAGCCATAGCCCTGCCCCCCAGGGCATAAAGCAGGAATGGAGGAGATCCTGGCCCCAGACATCCAGAGGCCCACCCAGAGCACGAGAGCCCAAAGGGGACCATTGCAGTGGCAATCACGTCTCCTAACTAGAAAAGAGCTCAGGAGGGCCCCGGATGGGGTTCACCCAGCAGCCAAGGCGCAGAAGTGACGAGCCCGCAGTCTCCACTAGCAGCCGGCTACCCAGAGCAGACCAAGCTCTGGACCCAGAGACCCGAGATCGGAGGGCCTTCCACACCCGGAAGGGGCCCAACAGAGCCAGGGGGGCCAGGCCCCGCCAAACAGCCACTACAAGTGAGCTAGTACACATCCAAGCAGCATTACCTAACCGGACATTATAAGAGAAACCTATAAGTCCAACAACTATTCTTTGGTCAGGGTCACATGTTCTGGGAGAGTAACACAGAAAGAAGTGACTGACTTAACTCCATCAGTACAAACTATGAGACCAAACTGTTTCTACATTGGAAACAGTTTGGGTACCGAAATTAAGAAGTACATAAGAAACTTCTAAGGTGGCGGCCAACTGTCCAACTCCAGTCCTCGTCGACCGATGTCCTGAAACTTTAACTATCTCCCTGCTGCAACACAGCCTAATAAACATTAAGCTGTGTTGTAATTGCCAGTCATTAACAAGACTGGCAATTCAGCCATTTGATTCATATTAAAGCAGCTTATGAGTGAATGAACATGGTGCAATACTTTTTTCAAAAACTTACATGTACTTACATTTGCTTAAATTTACTTGAGTAGGGTTAGGGGTTGCCACCTCAGCATGTAGCCAAGTTCTATAGTCTTGCTAATGACCTACTAATTTTATTCAGCTGTGTTGCAGCAGTGACACATTTAAAAGTTTCAGGACACCAGCCCTAAAGGAGTGGAGTTTGACACCACTGCTCTGAGGTATAAAATCTTATAGAGATCCCTAAAAAAAAAAGTCGGGTCACAAGAGGTAGGTCCTGAACTGTTCACTACTGTCATCATTAGCATGATGCTCTGCTTTACATCATATTCAATCGGAACAAGGGTATTTTTATGATGTCAGGTGTTTTCAGTCAAGGAAACATTCTTTCTTGGAAGTTTCCATGACCAAACCAGAAAAACTAGTAACTGCATGCAGTGTAGTTTCAGTTTTCAGCACAGCTGATCTTTGATCAACAGGAACAACAATTTTTTTTTATGTAAATAAAAGAAAAGAAATGTCTCACTTTCTTCTATCAGTTTCATCAGTATTTGTGTTGCCTCAATCATCAGCTGTCAGCAGAGGAATGTTTAACTGAACACTTCCTCATGTCTGAGTGTGTCACACTGTGTTCTACTTTGTACTTCTTTTTTTAAATCCATTATTTGGTTTTTCATGAATAAATCGGAGTCCTTAAAGGAAAGGATGGGCAGTCTGCCCCACATTGCTTCCTGCTCTGTAGGTCACAGCTCCACTGACCAGGAGACCATGAGGACTTACACAGACTGAGACCTGATCTTCTGACACAACTATCTGATCCTTGTTAAAATGGTTAAGATCTTCACACCTGAACATTTCCAACACTCTAAAAACAGATCGAGTTCACTGACTGTCTAATATAAGGACAGATATGCTGGTAACAGATAATCAGTACTAACTAATGGTCATTTGTAATTATTTGTGGTTCTTCTTGTATCTGATGTGGTGATGGAAAGTAACATGGATAGATTTTAACCTTTATACATGCCCTAAATTGACAGTATTTTGACAGAATAATGAACTGGCTATTGAAATAGTAGTAAATAAGAAAAAATGAAAATTGATTAAACAGAGGTGTCAGGGTTAGGTTCTGCACTTTATAACTTACATTCTTTCATTATGGAAGGAGAGGCATAAATTTGTTTTTGGCTGTGAGACCTCTCTTTGACGTCATGATTCACTAATTTTACTTGATTACAACTAACAGAATTTTAATATGTTGCAGTTCTAATATATAACTCATCCGAATGTATCATTATGGCACTAATGAATTTAACAAAAGCCAAATTTATTGCAACAAACTCAAATAACTAAGCGAGCCTTCAGTCAGACTGAAAACAGTTTTAAAAGAACCATGTTCAAAGTGAGTGTTTTTTAGCGATTATAGAGGGAAACACAAAGAAGAAGAATCTAACCAACTACTGATGATTAAAAGCTTGTGTGTGATACTGGTCTAGGTGTGGAAAAGGCCTGCTCTGTGTGACCAGCCCCACCGTGCGTGGCTCTTTGTGAGTAGTTCTTAACTGAGCAGTGGTTTCCCTTAAGTGACGGCAGCCTCCATTATTTTGTTTGGCCTGCCTGGTTATTGTTAATAGCAGCGTTGCTGTCTTTTTCTGTTGAAGCCTTATAGTTGTTTTCTTTGTTGAAGTGGTCACTAGCTCTTTGGGTTGACCTGATTTATCATGAACGCAGCGGTGCTGTCTCTCTTTGTTACTATTTATATGATTATTGAGGTAATTGATTATAATAAAGATATATTTTGTGTTAACTACCTCTGCCTGGTGTTCTTTTCATTTCAACCCAGATCCAACTGTTACTGTCCCCCACCCTCTTCGCCTAGATTTTATGTGGGGACGTAACAAAGAGTAAAAGAAGAAAACTCAAATCCTATGATTAAGAAGACAAAAGTACAAAATGAACATGACAGTGACACAACATGAAAAAGCTGAAATAATTCAACTATTTTTCTGCACTTTATGCTTGACATAAGTCACAGCCTCCATATGCAGATATTATTAGCAGGTACAGACTTTATACATGTTTGACTACAGACAATCATGTGGATTTGTCTTGAAACACAAGAATGAAGTTTGTCCTGAATTAAGAGCTGAAGATCTCGTCCCAACATTACAGAGCAGAAACCTACAGTAAAACTGTTAAAGGAGGAAACAAAGCAAACTTACAGTTTCTTCACACAGACATACCAACAACAAGCTCCCATCCACGCCTGGACACTAAAAACGACACACAGGTGAGCTCCTTTCTGGAAGGAGGCGGGATTCCACCTGCAGTAACAGTTAGATTTTCACAATAAGAGCACTTCCTTTTCTAACTAATGTCACACTGAAGATTTGACTCTTCCCAGCTCATTGGTGCCATTTCAAGGTGCTAACACTCATTTCATGTGGTAGAGTGCCCCTTAAACACTTTAAAATTTACACATCACAGCTCTTTAATACATAGGCTGAATCAGTTAAATAGCTCTTTGAGGGATTGAGCATCTTGATGCTTTAAAAGTTAAACTGTTGCTACAGCAGTACTTGACATTTCACATTTGCATTTTACATTCATTTTCTGACAGTCTCCACTGCCTCTGTTGTAGGTAGGCAAGTGAAGAGAGAGACTACATCAAAGGACACTATGGTTTCATCTGGGTCAAGTGTAAGTTTCTGGACCTTGTTGGTGAAGTCAGTATAGAATCCCATAGACCACAGGTGTTGAACTCCAGGCTTCAAGGGCCGGTGTCCTGCAGGTTTTAGATGTGTCCTTGATCCAACACAGCTGATTCAAATGGCTAAATTAGCTCCTCAACATGTCTCGAAGTTCTCCAGAGGCCTGGTAATGAACTAATCATGTGATTCAGGTGTGTCGATCCAGGGTGAGATCTAAAACTTGCAAGACACCGGCCCTCGAGGCCTGGAGTTCAACACCCCTGGTATAGACGATGATGTGCAGGGCGGTCAATAATTTTCTCCTTTTCAAGTTCTTGAAGGCAAACGATTACTTTCTTTTTGTACCTGCTTGT